GTCGACATCAGTAGCTTACCCTCCAAATAATCCAGGAAATAATCATTGTTTTTTAGTCAGATGATAATAAATAAATTGTAGCAATAGGATTTCCTATGATAGACGTGAAATGTCATCATTGATTAAATTTGATCATGTGGGCACTTCTTATCAAATGATTTTCAAATAGTAGACTTTAAAATGTAGTTTTTATTACCTTCTAAATTTTACAAATAGTGTTGCACGATAAATGTGACCACCCGATGATAGAATTATGCTCAGTGACAATAAATAGAGGTTTATGTCCGCTTAACGACTACTATTAACTCTATTTTAGTATGTCATTGTGCGAACATAGGAGAAAATTCATCTATGTATATTATGCCACATGACTATTCTATTGTTTCTCCATTATATGCATCTTTTTTTCTCTTGTCCATATTTACATATAACTGATACCTTTTTAATTTGTTTGGAATGTCATTGTTATTACACTACGGTCAATCCTTCGATGTCGTTGGGGTTTTTGATTGCAGTTATACTTTTGTTTCACTTGACATTATGATTTCTAGCGGCTTCCATGTTATTGATTGATTCCTTTTAACTTAACTATTCCTAGTCAGATAGATATTTAGTCTTCTAATTGTTAAGAAATTCTTTTTATTAACTGTTCATTTTATATTGGTTTGATTGATGTCACTTTGGTTTTATCTACAACGCGTTGTTTCTGGGTTACCAGGGCCCTTTTTACTGACTTTTAAGCAATTAAACTTAGGCGTATCACTAAATCGTCCTCCAGTTTAGATTTAGATTTAACAGTTACCTACCAATTTGTATAGTACGGTAAGATATATATATGAAGAAAAAAGACATTTTTCTAGTTAGCGCTTTGCAACAACTGGAGATCAGAGCTCAGGAAAAAATTGGTCGACGAATGCTAGCCAGTTGCTTATGCTCCATGAGGGGTAACAAGCTTAAGTAAGTGTACAAAAAAATAAAGTTAGAAAGAGAGAGAATATGTATGATAATATACATCTTTATCATTTTCTATTCATTAGTTGTCTAAATATAGTAAATTGTATTTATCTTTATTTCAAAAGTGAAAAATTATTCACATACACAATACATTGATCAAACGTTCTTTTTTTGTGAATATTAATCCCATTTTGTTCTCATTCAATAAATCACCTTTAAGTTAAAGTATAATAACTCTTGATATATTCACCTAAATATTAATTTTTTTTTATTTATAACATGAACGACAATTTCTTTTTAATGTACTAAAATGTAATGAAAAAGTTTTAATTTTAATTTTACAAATTTTCAAATGTAGAAAACTGTTTCATCATGACTCTCCCAACCCCACCCCTAACAACAACAACAATTAAACACGCATGCACATAAGCCGTTAGTGAATACTTAAGAATGATTTTAAAGTAGATAAATAAAATACCATTAGTTTTGAAAAGCTATTACCCATTTCTTTTTAGAAAAGTATAATTAAAGGAACAGTTATTGTTTTAAAAATAAAGATACTTTTATTTGTATTGGTATATGCATATACACCATTCAAAATAAAACTTTATGTAAAATCACTGAAATGACTAGATAAGAATTTTTGTTAATTTTATTTTTTGTTCTAGAATCTATAAATTTTTCAGTGTTATCAAGATCATATAAAAATAAGCTATAGAGAATAAGGATAAATCTATTTGAAATTTTGATTCTAATTAAAAAGGTATACTACTAAATAAATTGAGTAGTATAGAGTCATTCTCTCAAAATCGAAGTTAATGGCAATGATATTTGAATCTTTTAGATATTAATATATTAAGATCATCTGAAGAAATAAAAGAAATCGAAAAGCACTGAAAAACTATTTCTTTCTAGTTTGATACTTTTCAGTAGTGTGAATCTATGACTTCACATGAGATCGGACGTAGTGCTATAATATCTCATAGTTAGCATTTATTAAGAGTACCAAACTAAAACAAAGCAACTCCCCTATTCCTTTCGGTTTCCAATAATTCTTATTTTCATATCATTCTTTAATAAAACTGACAATAAAGTTTGAGAAATCTTCATAAATCACCTAACTACATTTTTATGATATATGTTTGAATATAGCTGTTTATATATAACTCAAGGTTGTGAATAATTCACATTTTTTTAAAAACTAAGTTTTCGGTATTTGGTCGAAATTTCATCTGTCAGGAATCACTTCACGGTTTTTCCGCTTAATTATAAGACTATTCAGAAGCACGAATATCACTAAGAGTCGAACTCAGGACCTTCAGATTTGATGGCGAACATTTAGCCTCCATCATTGTCCACAATAATAGTAATCATGTTCACGCTACTGATTAGTCTTGTGAGGCCATGCCCGGAGTTTTAATGGGGTAACGTTCCATTGGAGATTAACCATGTCGAGTTTTAGCCAGTTACTCATTACTGACATTGGAAGATAGTTGAGTTATTTGAAGTCAATCATTTAAACCACAGGATGTCGAATCAATGATGTAGAAACTAAACACTCCTCATAAAACATGAAAATTTTGGGTTCGACTCCCGGCAAGGCGCATACTTCTGAGGAGCTTCATACTAGTCCAAAACAGTTGTCCAGTGACTCCTAGTTTTCGATGATTGTATGACTGATAGCAGTTTGTGAGGTAAACTATAAAATTAAACAGTCTTCACAAACCGTTTGCATGGTGTAATTCTTCAACAAAAGGTCTTGTGTTAATTTACGCCAATAGAAACACAATTATTACTAAAAGTTTTAATTGCAAATTATAAACAAGATTCAGTAAAATGTGTGAACTATGTCTCATATACACCTTATTTGTCTTGAATAATTTAACTATCAAACAATGATTTTCAGGTTTTTATACGATATTACATAAGTTACTAACGTGATAATCAGTGGTTGATATTGACAAACTTAATTCATATTACAGAAGATCAAGTCAACTATAATGCAGCTTGTTTACTTATATTACTTTAAACAGTAACCAGATGACTGGATTGAATTGTTATTAAGTTGAGCGAAACAGTATTTGAGGCTTTTTGACTTTCGATTTTCGTTTAAATGGTATCAGTTTGTAATGTTCATCTCCTAAATTATAAAAAATGTAAACGACCCTTAAAAGTTTTTATTCGTTCACTACTAATTTAACATTTAGTTATTCCTATTCTGTGCTCTGTAAAATGTCTTGAGGTAAATTAATATTATATCAAATGTCGATTATTAATGACGGTTTCGGTTTAGTAAGACAACAAAAGTTTATGATTCATATTATCTCGCTTAAGCAAATGAGAATGTACTGAAATTGTAACTCATTACTTTAGAGCATAATATTTTGTAATATGAAGTTCTTAGTGCTAAGTTCGGCTTTGTTTAATAATAGTATTATAAATGATGGTGCAGAATAATATGAATTCATTTTATTTCGTTGGGTTCTCGTCAGCTGCTTACAACCTGAAAGATTTGAAAATCAATATCTGTAATAACGTTTAATTTCAAATACTTTAGGTTGTAAGCAGCTGACGAGAACCCAACGAAATAAAATGAATTTATATCATTCTGCACCAATCTTTGTTCTTGCTCTCCTTAACATAATAAAGGGAACTGTGTGTATGACATTATAAATGAATACAGGTTGTTCCACTTTTTTGAATAATATTAACAATAATCTCAAAGACAGGTATCATGGAAATGGATTAGATCATCGTGTTGTTAATATTTTGACTGAAATGTGATCAACCTTGGTTGGAATATGTGTATCCTGTGTGATATAGCCATTGTTACACAATTTAGCATAGAAAATATGAAATATAGTAGAAACGGAATGAATATATTGAGACAATTTTCAGAGCATACACAAATTCCAACAAAGACTCAATAAATTTTAGTCAAAATAACAACAACGGGATAATTTAATCGATTTTGAATTAAATTAAAACTCATACCTATTAGATAAGTGAGTGGTTACCTGAACTCAGTAATTAAGTGAATAATGAGATAATATTTGAAGCGAATGTTACTAGGTTCAAGTTCGGTCGTGAACATCAAATATATGATACATGTACCACCAAATTAGAAGAAATAAACGTTCTGGATTCTATAGCTTACCATATTCCGTCTACATTTTATATCATGCATATACGTCAATATATTATATATTAAGTTAACAAAAACTTGAATCATTTTTATCATTTGTTGTAAGAATAGTTCACAAGAAATACTCATTCTTTGAAATTATAAATAATGATACGTTTGGCGATTGTTAGAATAGCAACTTAGGGAGGGGGCAGACCAAAACATGGCACAAATACATGAAGTCACTGACAAGTGGACTGAGCCATGTTGATAGGTGTAGACTACCTGGTTTGGATCCGCGAGACAATAGCAACCAATGGTTAGAGACCCTTAATGACATGGCACAAAATCGTTTGCAATGGCGCAGGTGCATACACTCTTTGTGTTATCCAAATTCTAGTTTCCTGAATTCTTCATGTCCCTTATTTTCTTTCCAAATTTATTTCACTGGATTATACTCCTTGAATAACATCTTCAAACCCTAATGTTTCCGATTACTGCTTATACTCTTACTACCTCTACCACTACGGAATTTGAGTCGACAACTGCATCTCTGTGATAATGTGGTATGGCAACTCAAACTGATGTACGCGGTGACTGACTGACTAGAATAGCAACTAATTTGTATTTTCAAATTGTAAAACCGAAAAAAATCATGTTAAATTAAAAACATAATTCTTTGTAATTTTTTTTGTAAAATAATTCATACTCCTCAGTATAATTATTAATGAATAATAAATAAATATTTTTTTCAACAAAAAAAACGCATATTTGCATATTTCACTAAATGAATATCGTATTGAATTCATGTGTAACAGCAAATATTCATTTAAATAGATAATTGTAACAATTAAATTGGCGACAAACTTTATCATTGTTATGGTAAATATGAATACATAGATCTTTCATTACACAAACTTACCCTAATTTTCGGAGGCGGTGGTGACTTTTTGACTTCACTAAAATTTGTAAAAGAAAATTAAGATGAGCATAGAGTGTTATATATTTTCATTTTATTAGAACTCTTGACATTATTTTGTTACGATACATTTTGTACTTTATTGTCGAAGCATTTATGCATATATATAATGTATGTTGTAACATAAAAATGGAAACAATCAATGTCGTCAGTAGCTTAACCAGTTTTTGGATATTTGTTGATTATTAGTAATAATTAAATTTTTCCAGTAATAGAATACAATACAGTCACCAAGTTACTTATTGAAACAATATGATTCAATCGGTTAATAATATTTTTATGTATAAGGAGGAAAATCAACCTCATGAATTAAACTTTATCGCCAATCATAGTAGTTAATAAAGTAAATATTTAACAGAAGGGGATTTCGTAGTGATTTTAGTAATTTTATAGTTGAATCCATGATTTAATTAAAGCTAGACCACCATGAAAAAAATGGAAGTGCTGGACGGCCGATAGGTTCTGGGCTCGAATCCCACGAGCGGGATCGTGGATTGGCACTGCTGAGGAGTTTTATACTGGGACGAAATGGTCGTCCAGTGATCCCAGGTTTTTCTGTGGTGGTCTAACTTTAATTGTTTCGCGAATTCAACTATAAATATTTAACTTCCAAAAGAAATCTAGTCTTAGTTTTTTTAATATTTGGATATTAATCCTTCAATTCTCTAATTACAGAATGAAGATCATATAGCAGTATCGAAAAACACTTTTCACATTTCATTTAAGTCATGCAAGATGTTTATTAATATTCGTATCAATTATATTAAGTGCATACGTTTCAATTATTAAAATAATTATTGATATGATTTAAATATTTTTTATGTAGTACGTAAGCGTGAGTAATGATATCACAATAATTGATCAATAAGCAAAGTAATGGCCAAGAGGTCTGATTAGACCGTAACGAAATAAGAGGAACATCTTCTTCCAACTATCTCGGAACTATAATATTAAATGATTGCACAGTAGATGACTTAATTAAAATCAACACTGAAAAACCAAGATCCTCACTGATAAAGAAATAGCCGGTACTAAAATGAAAAACAATATCTCAACATGAAACGCTGATTGGTGGATTCTTCATTAGTCCCCATTCTAATATGTGAACTAGAATCGATCATATAAAAATGAACAACACGAACTGAATATGTATACTTCACGCACAAAAGACAAAACAACCTAATGTTGGGGATTTTAAATAGTGACGTAAAAGAAAATTCTAAAATTAAACAAGCCCATATCAAGATCTAAATAGAACAATTAAAAATAAGTATAGATCAATTTGAAAATATGCTCCCTTTAAAGTGAATTGCAAATCTAAGACTAGACAGATTAGCGGTGATCACTATAATCCTAGACCAATAGGCATATGTGAACTAACATATGAATGTGAAAACATCGATTATAATAGGAAGTTCGGAACAATTAAAAAAAGGAATCGTTAACTTACAAGAAATCATCGAGCGCAATCAACAGATGTAGCATCCCTAGGGGATTACAAATGCCCTCTTGAAGAGTGATTTAAAACGTATAAAACTACTGGATGCATAAAACGACATTTTCAAAACTGTGACTCAACCCCAGTATAATAACTCAATAATATAGTCTTCAACGGCCCAACTACAAAGTGACACCCCACTTAACTCAAGTGACCTACAACACCAGTGCCCATGTTTTGAGTATCAAGAGAAACTACCTGCCAAAAAGGCATCATCAATCACTGATATGGGGTACATCGATGGTTAGCAATAACCGGATAAGAAGTAAGACTAAGGACAAAAAAATCAGATGCGAAAACAGATTTTGTGCCCCTTTATTTTACCGAACTTTAATTTATGTCGCCTTACCGGAAGAGACAGCTGACTTCACCAACCAGTTTGCCTGAAAGCAGCAATACAATAGTAAGTATAATAATAACACACTCCAAGGTAGTGTAGCATAAAATTTCCTACTCGATTATTAACTTAATTGTAATAAGAAAATTAGTGGTAATAACTATATGACTTTATTCAAATAAGAAAGAGACATGTTATTTAACTTATTATAATCTGAATAAAAATGGCGCTTGTTAACTAATGTTAGAAAGTTATTGAGAATTGAAGCCTGACTAAATCTATCATTGTCTAAATGAGATTCACTATCCACTGGTGAACTCCTCTAGCCATCCAATGATAAAAGCTATATATATTGGGTTTCTGAACTGAATGCGACGGAAAGAGAGTCCTGGATTCCACCGCTAGCCAATATCCATCTCTGTATACTGTATACAATTTCCATTCACTTAGATTAGTGACTATGATGCATTCAAGCAAATATGATTTCGAATTTTATTCAATAATGACTCGATTTGCAAACGAACAAGGAAATAAAATATAAATAGTTAGTTAAATTATTTCGAGTGGGTTTCATTAAATCTGTAGGTAATTCTTTTCACAAACTGGCATCAGTCGGAGAACTATCGGAATTGAAAGAGTACTTGATAGATTTTTCGCTTCATCTTGAAACTTCTTAATAACCTGGATTCATCACTGGACTCATCATATTTCGATCTCAATGATTTACATCAGTCATACTGCTATTGCAAATCGGAAACAAATTATAATTATAATATTTATAGTATTACCTCACTTAATATCGATAATCAATAGGTAATCAGATAATATGAAAAACAAGCATTCCTCATTATGCTAAAATTATTCAGTCAGATTAGATTTTGAACTGCCTGTTGTTTACTTTAGATATCATATATATATATATTGATCAAATACATCAAAGGAAGTTCCGATTTAAATGTGTATCCCAATAAGTCGAGTATAATCAATAGGAAATAGGATGGTTTTATTGACGTAGTAGAATATTTATCACTTGTTTAAGTAACATTAACTATTTCTTTAGTTCTAATAGACGCGGTTGTTTGAAAAATAAAGGTTATGGTAACATATTACGTTGGATATTGTATTGATGGTCTGAGTAGAAATCTTGGTTGTATGTGGAATAACTCTTAAGTATAGTTTATGGATCCTTTCACTATTTCAGGGTTTGATATATTCTCAAAAGAAATTGCGGAAAATCTTTGGTATAGGATATATTTCGGATAGAAATTCTTTTCAGAACTGTGATAACTTCTATAAAAATTTTGAGTGTCTGTATATGCTTTACAAATCCTGAACTAGGATAAATTTAAGAAATAACAAGGGATATTAAAAATTGACTTACTCCATCGCTTCTGTTCCTACGTCACAAACAGATTTAGGGTGTGAACTGACTGTAATTTGTACAGGTTTAGGTTCTTTTAATGTAGCATGTACATCTGACATTTTTCGTCTTATATCCTTGATTTCATCTCCCACAGCGTCCATTCTAGCGTCTGCAACTTTACGTCTTTCTTCTAATTCTCTTCTAACACGACTAAAGTTCTCCTTCATTCCGGTTAACTGAATTTGAAGTTGGCGTATTTCTGTTTGTGCAGCGATTTCTCTTGCTGTGGGTTTGCCATCATTTTGGTCTCTGCTCTTCTTCATGAATTCTAAACCTTGTTTCAAAGTAGTGATCTCTTCCTCTTTGGATTTTAATGCTGTATCCCATGCTGATTTTAACTGATCTAAACGTTCTCTTGTCTGTTTCGCCTCATCAGTCCATCTTCTTAATTCTTTCTCTAGCTCTTCCATTCGCCTAATTATATACAAAGAATAAAACAGTATAACTTTGCAGAAACGTAGTATCTTTCAGTTCATTGTATTCGAGTAAAACAAACTAATTATGCTATAGAGTGATATGCGGCAAATGTGGGCAGAGCTAACAGTGAATACTTTCGTATCAATGAAATAATAATAATTAAATTACAAGTTATTATTTTGACTCCTTTCTTGACAGAAGTAATATTTAGGGATATAAAACAATTCCATACTGAATTATAAACAATTTAAATGAAGATTAAATATAATATTTAATCACCTTTATAGATCAAAGTGAATCATTTAATTGAAGATAAAACCTACTTAGCATGATTAGCATTTTTAGCTAATTCTTTTGCACATAGTTCAGCCTCAAGACGACGACGCTCTTCAGCTTCCGCTTGCATCTGTAATATACGTTTTTGTTGTTCATATTCTAAACGTTGTAAAACATCTTTTTGATGACTAATTGCTGCTGAGATAGTATCTAAACCAGAATCACCAGTATGAATAATGGGTGTTAACGATTTTGGTATAAACTCAGTTTGCAATGAAGGTAATTCATGTGAACTGTTTACAGATTGATTTGATACTGGGTAAATTACTGGTAAAGTAATAGATGGTCTTTGTTCATAATGTGAACTAGATGTATGTAAAAATTCAATGAAAAAGATTAATAATACATTACTAGTAATACATTTAATAGTGTTTCATTGCTTTAACAATAACAATGCCGTTGTACTAGGGACGAGAGTGTTATAACTTGTAGGTTTGTGCCCCTATTAATGCATAACGTAATGATACCGCCAATTAAAGAACAGTGAATTGTCAACCGGACCAATGACGCATAAAACCAGTACGAGCAATCTAGAGTCCTTATCAGTCCTGCTTTCTGCCTAGCCCTACCTGTTAAGTTCAGAACTCCAATATAAGCTTCTGCGATATGAATTGTAAATTTAACACATACTGGGTTTATTTACAAGCCAAACAGATCACATCGTACCATAAAATATGAAACAACATTTGTACAAGATTTAGCCAAATGTGGCTGTAAATGTGTGAGATAGTAATTGATAGAGTGGGCATAACTCAAGGATGGTAAACCGTATAATAATAAATGGTAGGTCAGAATAAAGCCCATGATAAGTGGAACACGAATAGTTAAGTTATTTAGAAATCATAAGATAAAAATATACGCATAGTGCTAGTCCAGAAATAGATTCCAATAGTTACCATTCATTATTCTCATCAGGATATAACAGAGAAAAATTTCCATTTATATAAAATACTGGAAAGAAAGTTATTTTCACAATTAGGTGTTAAGATAAAGAAGTTAAAATAAGAGTGGTTATATATTTTTCATGTAAATCTCCATATGTTAGCCTTTTAATTTTTGCTAAATTAGAACATTATTTAAGTTCTTCATTATTAACTCCGCTTGGAGCCCCCCTGAAGTTACTGCAGGTCCCAAGCCCGGATAAAAGAGGAGGGTTGAGCATTGGGTTAGCAAACCCATCCCATAGAAAAACAATTCGTTAAAAAACGCTACCCAGAAAAAATAATTCAAACCATTTAAACTCTGCCGTGGGAGTTAGGTCTTCATTTAGAAGAGTTGTGACGTCTGATGATGAAAGCCTAGTTCCTTCGAAAGTTACGAGGCTGATGCCCCTTCTGAAAACCAGAGCAACCATTAATTTAGGTACATGGGATGTTCTGTAGTATCACTGAATATAAATCTATCAGAAAGGGGTTTTGTAGAGATTGTAGTAATTTAATAGTTGAATTCATGGGTCAATTGAAGCTAGACCACCATGGAAAACCTGGTAGCACTGGATAGCCGTTTCATCCTAGTACGGGACTCCTCAGCAGTGCACATCCACGATACCACACCGCGAGATTCCAACCCAGGACCTGTCAGTCTCTCGCTTTAGTGCTTAAACTCTAGACCATTGAGTTGTCATCCAACAGTGTTCATGTCTAACTTCAATCAATCCACGAATTTATACATTTAAAAAAGTAGACAGGACCAGTTGATTGTGCATCTTTCATAAAAAAGAAGTTCATTTAAATGAAATAACTTGGAGAATATTTAAGAACTATATGGTCTGAAGTTTTCATTTACCTGACCTATTTGATTGTTGATCTAAGAGGTCTAAGATTTCATGGAGACAATATTATTGTTGATTCATACATAAAGTCTGATAGTGAGTGTACTGAAACTTTCAAATTAGAATAATGTAAACTACTTCATCCTGAGTTTTATTCAGAATTCAAAAGTATTTACTTTCAGTTAATGCTGTGCCTACAGCAAACAAACTTCTACTTATAATTTAGTGAGTTTTATGCTTTTAAATTCTAGTTCTATGGAAACAATATATCAGATTTCTCAATATAACTTTCACTGTATTCCTCTTAAATATCTGCTGTCATTTGCTAAAATAATTTTAAAGAACGAGGAATTCACATAATTTGTCTTCATAGATGATGAACTAATGTGAATTAAAATCTAAGCTCAATTAAACATTATCAGGAGTGATTTCTGTAAGTCATATATTCGATTCTGAGTAATTGTTACTGGGATATCACAAATTAGAACTAAATAACTCGTCAATATTCTCTTGTCTTCAACGTTTATTCAGTTTATCATATAAATTGTGTTCAATTTAAAATACTTAATAAATCAATTCTCTATCATTATTCTAAGTGAAGCAAAATACCAAATCTCATATCTTACCTAGGTCTGTTGATATTTTGTTGTAACTGTTGTTGTTGAGATTCTTGATGCGCATTTGTCACAGGAGGTAATTCACGATTAACTGGTATATTTTGCCCTTGTGGAGTAGGAATACTTGGTGATTGAACATTTTCATTATTGTCAAGTAAATCTGTTGTTTACATTTTAAAATCGGTGTCGTAAAGAATGTATCATAAAATTTGCTTCAATAAATATTTCAATGATTTTTAGTCTTTATTCAGTAATATAATAAATTAAACTCTAGTTAACAAATTAGGTGAGACAATAGTTTATGGGTGATCTTTGAATGATGCTAACAAGACCTTGAGAATGTTCACCTACGTACTACGGTTAAATTGGGGATATAAACCAGTGTGAATAATTAAGACTAATATTTACAGTTGATAGTTAGGATTATGTATTAGATATAAGGTTTTCATCATAAAATGACATCAGTTATAATGCCAAAACTCTATTTAGCCAAATGAATGAATTAATTTCGCGCCAAAATTCAAGACCTGTTATCGTAAATCTGATTAGTTTACTCATAAATTGTAGTCTCGGCACAAACTGAAGATAAATTTCATTACAGTAAAATGTACTACTTAAAGTAGGCTAAAGATTTCATAGGAAATTAATTTCAAACAGTTCTTATTTAAACAGTTGAAATCATGAGTCGATTGAAGTTAGACCACCATGGAAGACCTGGAGGCACTGGATGGCCGTTTCGTCTTAGTATGGGACTCCTCAGACGCGCACACCCACGGTCTTGCCCTCCGCGAGATTCGCGCGCGAGCCGCCTAACCATTAGACCACTGAGTCAGCATCCGACTGTGTTTATGTCTAGCTTCAACCAATCCACGAAATTGCGTCACCGTACACTGTTGTCTTCTTATTTACCATGATCCTTAAAATTTTAGTCAAAAGTTATCAAGTAAGCTCTTAAAAAAACTAATTTTTCATTAAAACAGCTGTTGGTTAACTTAAAGCCTTTTCTCCCATAGTTTACATGACATACTCAAAGGGAACACTAATAATCTTATGCCTTCCATGACTAATAAATGAGTAATTTTTAAAATATAATTGAATATATCACCGGGATAATTCAAGTGTTATTAAACAAGGTTCATAAAAGTTCGACTTGTTTAAAATATTCTATGTTAAATCTATTACTTTTCATCTTCAAAGTTTGAATCTTGCCACAAACACTACATTGATACTTGATGACAATTTTCATAGATAATGCCCCAGGCTATATTTCAGTTCAAAGTATATAGTTTTCGACTGGAAAATATCAGCATAAAAGAGTATAACTCAACAGTTAAAGCGCTTAGATTTGGTATTGCTCATTCAATATGTTCCAGTATTTATGAAAGGGTCTTTCAGTTATTTCATGTAGACAAAAATGCGAAATCGATTGACTGTATAAAAAGTAAGTAAATCATGAAACTGTTTTTTTAAATCAAATCAAAAACTATTCAGTATAAGTTATTGGACTTAAACTATAAATTTACTAATTTCAGTTGAATAAATTAAGAACTCATTTTCTACTTACAAGGATGCTTTCAGTATGGGTTTTAATGTGTAGCGTAAGTAATTCATTTAGATGGAAATCTATTTTAACAGTATTCCCTTTCTAGTCAGTGCATTTACTAATATTACTTAAAGCAAATTTATATAGAATAGATGGGATATAGCTAACAGTAGAATCTAGGGCGCGTTTTTGATCCTTCTGAAACTCATCAGCTGGATATATTTGGATTCCAGAGTTGATGTTCACTTTGGGACTCAACCCAGTTGTTATATCCGAATGAGAATAAATGAATGGTAATCAATAGGGATTAATTATGAAGTAATATTATAAGTATATTCTTATTGTATGACTACCAATTGACTATATTATATATGTATTCATATTTTCTTTATTATAAGCTTTTATTTGACCCATTGGCTATTATCATACTATTTACTATTCTTGAGATACTCCCAATTTATTAGTGACAGTCTCTCGAAATCACAGCCACTTTTGACTTGATCTTGTACAACTGTTTTTTATTTTATGGTGTGATGTCGTTTTGTTTTTTTCATATTATAAACCCAGTATGTTTAAAATATATGATAGGTAACTCGGAATCTAATATTGGAGTTCTGGACTTCATAAACAGGGCTATGCAGAAAACTGACCAATCGGAACACCAGAATGTTCGTACTGGTGTGTGCGTCATTAGTTTGGTCGTATGAGTCAATGTATCTAAATTGGCAATCGTATTTCGCGATAATTTTATAGCTACGGACATAACACCAGTACCATTGGCTTCAGATGCCATCGCATTATCCACTTAGCTATTGAGTCCAGACAGCCACTAGCTTGTGCAATGAGGTGGTTTAAACAAACAATACAAAAGTGAATTAAAACTTCACCCCATTGCGCAAGCTAGTTGCTATCTAAACTCTGTAACTATGTGAATAATGTGGTGACGTTTAAAGCGAACGGTACTGGGTCAGGTCTCAGAATGAACATCAACCCTGGGGTGCAGGTACATCCAGCTGACGAGTTGCAGAAGAATGAAAAGTGCTCCTTGGATTCCACTGTTATCCACTCCCATCTCTACTTATGTATCTCGAAGCTGTAACTGATTTGTTTGGTCATTTATGAGGTAGACATCAAGCAAATTAATTTACAAGAAGTTTAAAATAGGTTGCATTATTTATAACGATTATAATCGCTTCCGTATTATAGATATATGACATAAGTCATCTTTTTTATCACATTTGTTCAGTTTTGTTTAATTATCAACTAATGATGTAGTCACCAGATATATGGTATAAAAGTTAAGCCCTAAAGCCAGATGTTTGTTATCGCAAAAGATTCTTGTTAGATCTTTAGGTTCTCCAGTATTATTAAATCAACAAATTAGATTAGAATTTTTAGTCGATTACATGTAATGCTCATTAATAAAACACATCATTGTAATCATAATTCATTTTTAGATCATTTGAATAAGATTGCTGATAAGGATAAGTATAGACCACCGTTTAATACTTGAAAGACTAACTGTGAAATAAATATTTTCGAAAATTGTGCCATTCAGACACAAATATTCATTTTGATGTTATAAATAATCTGTCCAATAGATAGAAATATAAAGATCTCATAACTTTATTTTATGGGATTTATAGTGGATCAATCTTATCCCCTTTAAAATGCTGTTTAATTGTGGTAATCTTCGTTTCCGTCGTTATATTCAGATGATCAAACAAAGCCAGGATTCTCTTTGAAAGATACCACCGAGTTTACAGAAGTATTATCACATATCACACATCTACTATTAAGGAAAACAGAATGTTGGTCGGTTAATTGCTGAATTAAGAGAGATCACTAAGCTTTTTCGGACTCCAAGTTTTCATCATTTTATTTCAGTGGTATTAGTCCGCTCTTTGAGTTTTTACATAACTAACAGCTATAATAGATTATACAGGATATTTTTGGAATGGACGATGTTTTTCTATCGAAAAGTTAAGTAATTATCCTTCTTTGTCCCAGGAAGTTTTAAGATATGACTTACTTTTCTTTGAATCATCTGGTTTTGTTATTGGTGATGCTGATCTCGTTTGTCCTAATGTAGGAAGTGGCATTAAATTGACCTGATGATGTTGTGCTGCAGCATGTTGATAAAATTCTTTTTGATGTATTTGACTTTCATCAATAGCCTGACGATCTATCACATAGATCTCAGATAGTTCAGACTATTTGAAAAGAAAATGTGAGGTTAGTCTTTTTTTTTTACAAAAATCTCACTAATAAAAAAGTAACTATTTAGCTTAGTTATTATTCTACAAATCTATAGACTACCCACTGTGAATTAGAAATTATTTTCTCAGGAAACCATTTTTCACTGTTTGTATGTGCTCTAAGTAATAGAGAATCCTTTTAACTTATTATCAGATGAAGTGCATAAATAAAAAATCTAAAAATGACCTCATTTTAATTTGATTATACAAAATCAAATTTAACAAGCTTTATTCTTAATGATTATGAAAAATCTTCCAATAAGTTGTACTAATTTGTATATAACTGTTGATTATAGTAAATTCAGTTAGACTACTTCATAGCATTTACAGTATATTCATTTTATTGCTTTAATCATGGCTGTACAAACTATATTTATAGGATAAATAGTTGAACTTTGTATATACCCTGTGAAAATGTCATAGTTGGAATTTCAGAAGGAGCTTAATAGTAGTAATAATAATAAACTGACAATCAAATTTATATGAAATCAGCAAAATATTTGATAAGATTTTTCATTTAAAGTTTAACGAATAGTTTAAAAATAGTCGAGAGCCGAATTAATGGAAGATACTAAATAGTATGGGGTTGTTAAGATTATTAAGTTTTTGATTGAAACCATGAACCGATTGATGTTAGACCACCACTGAAAATCTGGAACCACTGAATGGTCGTTTCTTCCTATCGTGGGACTCCTCAGCAGTGTGCATCCACGATCCCGCTCACTAGTGACTAGCTTCGTGAGGGAATTCTCGGAGTTCTGTGAGAAGCCATGACTTCAGATTAATTTTGATTTCAGCAGCTGAGATTTTTATACATACAATGTTCATTTTAACTGGTAGGCAATTCACGTGAAGTGGTCTTAAGTAGAATAATTTATAGATGGTATTTGTATCGGACTGATATGATTTAGTGTACCACCAAACAATATACATGTTATGGGTAAAACAACCCTCACCAATTTGGTTGTATAATTGTTAAGCTAATTTTCAGGTTGACTGAATTCGGAAATATGCACCAATAAACCACATCTCAGTAGCTTAGTGGTCAAGGCCTATCCGAGAGAACTGAGGACCTTGGTTTTGATCAATAATAGCATTGTGCGTGGGCCTTTATGATGATATATGTTTAGTTGTTTGCGTTCAAAAATGTTAAGTAGTATACATGAGTAAGAATGACTAATTATTGGTTGTTTTATGACCTACATTTTCATCATTGACAACTTATTTGTCAAGGAACAGATAACCCACAATCATTTTAATTGATTACCCGAACAATTACCAATGTATAAACCCAGTTATTTGGTGAAAACTTATCTCACTTATATAAGTAAATTGTAAGTTGACTAACCCAAGTAATTACAGTAAGCTTGAAAATGATTCAGTATGATGAAAACATTACGTAAGAATAGTCCTAGCACATTGAATGTCAAGAATTAATTTAATTCTTTTATGATTATAATTCGCTTTTACTTTAAATGCTTACTTGGAATGCTTGTTTATCTAAAAATACTTCTGAGATAATGTAGTTGTAGAAATGTGAATTGATTTAACTATTAATTAAAGTGAAAATCCGTTTGCGAAAGACATTTGCTGACTTGTAAATAGTAAGATTAAATCTAGCGAATAGATTTAAATAGTTTACAGCAAATCAGCTTTTAATAAGCTTGTCATGACCTTTTTGTGTATATTAATAAAGTAACACTTCTAAATCTTCTTTTAACAGTATGATTTGACCAAGAGATAGTGAAGTGACAAATAGAAGCCTATTATGCTACACCTTTGTAAGATTAGAATGGGAAGTAGTTTAAAGGAAATCTAAGTGAATTCTGATGTTACCATCATACCACATAACCATCGTTTGTATTTTAGTAATCAGAATGAACTTTACATTCCAATTAAATACTTAGTTTTAACGTTTTCAACGACATTGATTGATTACACATGGGCATACTGGGGTGTGTTACCACATGAACGGTGACCAGTGAAATGTTAAGAAGAAAATAAACGGACTTTTATCAACTATCTGTGTCCAATGTAACAGCTTACTTGTATAATAACTTGACATTTTTCTAAAATTATTTTGGCAACTAAAGTAATTTCAGAATTACAGTTTATTTAGATACGCCTAAGATCTACTTGAAAGGCTAAGTGAGCATACGAAATGAATCAAGTGAGAGGAAAAAAATAATGAACATTCTTAGACAAATCACGGTACCAATAAAATGTTACTGAACATAAATTTAGAAAATTCAACATTTAAAGGGATTACAGTTAAGGCTAATGAATTCGCGTTATACAAATGTGTGAAATTCCCCCTTTGGGGAGTCATTAATAGATTTGAATTATCTGTGACAACATTATGAAACACAATGAAATTAACTGATGAATATAACCTTCTCAAATTAGAACAGCAAATGAAGGGTCGGAGGTGTAATGGGTTGTCTTATATATACATATATCTATATATACATTTTGTATTCAATAAATAAACTGAATGAAAAATATTTCCATGTAAAATACTAGGTTAGCATAAATTATTTTTTGCTTACTTAGTATCAAAATTAATTTGGTTATATATGGCAACTTATATTACAATAGATTTACCTTAGTAACACAACTGATAATACCTTTGAATATAATGTGTTATTGATGATGAAATCTATTCTTCATGATTAGCATTATGACAATTAAAGATTTTACAGTATAAAAATGCTAAAATCTAGTCTGATAAGCTTTCAAAAAAATGTCATTCATTTAATAGTCTAATAAAATTAGGAATCATTCCAATCATCGACAGTCAGTTATCTAAAACTACGATAATCCATGTAAACAATGACTTAGGATACTGAGGATCATTGGAGATTTAAATCGATAAAAAAATAATACTCAGCTCCCTTCTACTGAAAATAAATTAAATTTATTCATAGACATATAGGCACATTGAAATCTTTCATATGAACAAATGCGTATCAAGAACAAAAAATTTATAGAGCAATAAATGTAGGCAGATCTGAATTATCATCAGTCAGTACCGACCTGAAATTTACTATAATGATCTTCTTAGTAAAATTAAATACAAAAAGAATCTAAGAGCTACTTATAATCCGATCAACAAACGATTTGTAAGCCTCTGGATGAACAAAATGAATCACTTCATTAAATAAAACTAAGAATCATGGTATTTTACAAAACATAGATTTTTCTCTGATATGTTTTATGCTACAATTATACAAAGGGAGTTTATCTCAACTTAAAGCTCTCCGAATCATTGATGTCAGACTAAAAGCAATTCATGTTAAAGTAAATGTATGCTTCGTTATGAAACCAATTTTGAAGTAGGATTATACAATATATGTCTGTGATGATTACATTCATGGAGCGGTAGTCACTAGGTTAAAGATATGAATTACATTATACATATTTCAAATATTATTACCAACCTCTTATGGATTCACATTAAAATCAAATGTATGAATTTGCATGTGAGCGGGGGTGGGGGAGGGCCGATTTACATTACAATTTCAAATTACATCATATATATATATATATATATATATATATATATATATATATATATATATATATATATATATATATATATATATATATATATATATATACATTATTTACCTGAGGAGGAAGAAATTCATTCACTTTAAACAATATCTCTTGATTTGATTGAATCTACAATAAAAAATTATATAAATTAAAAAATATTATAAAAATTTAATATATTACACGACCAAGTGAATGTCCAACTTGTTTACAAAATATATAATCATTTGGTAAAATTTGTTCTTCAAATTCTTTCTTTAAAATTTCACGTAATTCAGCTAAAGTGATATTAATTTTAGAACGAATTATTCCAGCTGAAACTGTATTTTTAATCACTTGAGTAAATGCTGTATTTAAATCATTAATCCATAAATTTGGTGGAATCACATAAATATGTATATCAATTAATTGTATATCAATTGAATTTGATCTGGATTCAATGGAATTTAATGAATTCATAGATAGTAATAATTGATGATCTTCTTAATTGTGTAACTTTATGAATTTTCTTTTCTAACTATAATCATACATAATGAAAGAAAATAATAAAAATAATTATTATCAATCTTACTTATTTTATTCCTTTTATATATAATCTATTACTTTTCTTTATATCTCCAAAATATAATAAAGAGATATGACCTTAAAGAAATAGATTAATTCCTTCTTTGGTTTGAATCAGTATCATTTAAACATTGAACATAAACAATCAAATTCAATGGTTACTTTAAATGGAATAATAATTTTGTCTTATTTTATGAAATCACTTTTTTTTCTTCATTGATCCATTTCATAGTGTCCTTAATTTTTATAATAACTATTAACCAATTAAAATAAACAAGAATATACCTGCATTATAATAAATAAGTTAAGAATAATTTATTCCAATTGTTTGTTATTTATTTAATTAAGTTTTATTATTTTTGTACTAACAATTTGATTAGTTTAATAGTTATGATGATAATAATGTACACTTACATTAAGTTTAAAGTTCAATTGATTCTATAGAACCCATTATTACAATAATATGTGCTACTTATATCAATATAAGTAGTATATAACACGAATCAGGAATATAATATATCCATATATATATATATATATATATATATATATATATATATATATATATATATATATATATCCATCAAATCTACCACATGGTTTACGAGTGCGCATTTCGCACATTGTGGAAGCCGTCGCAATCTATGTTTACAAACCTGACCTTTGCATCCAAAAGAAATTCGTACAACCACTTTTTCTACCCTGGCCTTCAGTATAACATTTCCGTCAGAAGAACTATTTTTCATACTTCTTCCATTTTTTATTTTAATTTTAAAATTTTTGTAATTTTGTTTCTATCGCTTTTGAGCCTTATAACTTCTCAACATTCATCTCTTGATTCTTACGTAACTACTATCCTATTGACCATCCGATAAAATTCTATTCCTTCTTTGTTTCTTATATTACGCAGCATAGCAACTTCTTGATTACTTTGAATATTAATAATCCTCTCTCTTCAAATTACTGAAAGTTAATTTAAATGTCATTATGTAATTATTACGTAACGTATCCACTCGATGAGTATTATATTATTATTGTTAAACGTATATATATTAGCGTAGAGCCATGATGAAAAACTAATTGAAAAGAAATTTCTTCGCTCAATTCGTTCCTTCTTTATTTACCAAATGGCAAAATGGGAATTTTCACAATATAATATCTACCTGTAGAAATTTGAGATCAAGAAAATGAAGAATGAGAACAGAAAGTAATTGATATGAAAATTTAGGAACAATAAAGTTTGAGTCAATTGATTGATAGTTTATAAATTAAGTAATTACTGTGTTCTCATATTTTACTAAGTGATATGATGGAAAGGTCAAAATTCCATTGATTTACTAATTATGATTCTTACTTAACATTACTACCGTTTTGATTCAATGTGATGATTATTCAGTATATAGTTGTTTTCTTGTATGATATTTTACTCTATATATGTTATTCTTCTATTCAGTTGACATGACCTATCCTTAGTTTATGATTTGTTATAACTGAGTATTTTTCATATATGTGACTTCATCTTAATTATTAATCAAAATGGGTGAACAATCAATACATAAATGAGTGTATTTTCGACTAGGGTCGTCGTCGTGGTCATATTTTGGGGTTATTTTAGGTTATCTTAGGAGCCGGATCTACCGTTCAATTGACAAGATATATCACTAAGAAGTATTGTAATTTTATGTACAAGTACATTTGATTGTCCCCTACTTGTGTTCTCGTTCACAACACTATTATCACTACTAATACTACTGCTACTGAGTGTGATTTTGAGTACTTTGTAAAATACGATACACTTTAGAAGGTATATAAATGAAAAACACGTGTCTGACAAATAGTTCAATATACGACAAATCTTTTTTTTTAAAGAAAAAGATGTACTACTATATACCTTTGAAAAGAAATCGTATGAATAATAAGTTGTGGTAATATTTGTGAATGATTTATAGATTCCTTTTATGACAAATCTTAATTATATACAATCTGATATAATGGCTTAATAGACAATAATACGTTTTATTTATTTATTTGAAATTAAACATAAGGTGTTATATCAGTCTACTTGGATAAGATATTCAAACAAGAAGAATCATAATTATTGTGCTAAAATTGAATATAATCAAAAGTTGAATTTTACAAAAGATGAAAGCTGAATCATTCAATTATAATTTATTGGCTTTAAGATAAAGAGCTTGTTACATACCTTGAGGTTTTAAGTTAGGTTACCCTTGACGTCGCACATGGACACAGTAATGTAAAGTCTTGAGCTTGAAAATATTATTTACTATTCGGAGCTTTATACTTTTCAATGGTTCTTCATATAATGAGTCAGTGGTAAAAAAAATTTGCCTAGTTCAATTACTATATCAAAATTGGTTTACTTTCCTCTATCATCATAATCATGAAATTTTTCACGTAACATTAAAAAATAAGTAATGATTAAAATAGTTGAGATCATGAGTCAGTTAAAGGTAGACCACCATAGAAAACCTGAAAACACTGGACGGCCGTTTCATCCCAGTATGGAACTACTCAGCAGTGCGCATTCACGATCACGCCTCGCGAGATTCAAACCCAGGACCTATCAGTGACTGGCTTCAAGAGATAGTTCCTGGAGTTCTAGTGAGAAGCAGTGACAAGTAGTTATTACCTTGAGTCAATGGGGAATATCGGATAACTAAAGTGACACAAATTAATGTCATTTACTTTCGTGTGTGTTTCCAAATATGTTATTAAAAGGAAACTAGTAAACGAAGCCCGTCTAACCAACTACCTTCATGATATTCACAATGATTGATTAAGTGATAAATTTTCTAACTGAACGCTAGATTCGGTTCTTAAGCTTTTCTAGTAATCCCCAAGCTAAATCTACACGACAACTTGAACATGGGAGAAGAGGTGAGACATATGACAGAAAACGCTTTACTCCAAGGTTCCTTTATGTACAGAAAATCTAGGGTATTTATAGCATTTAAGTTGGCCTTGGGTCTCCCAAAAATTCTGGAATGCTACAAAACATAGTAGCAGGATAGGTAATCATCCAATCGGAATCACCATATGTGACTTTTCACTTTCTAGATGTTCCTGGCAAAACTTCTATTGAATGTTGATTGGATAAGATGTTTCTCAGCGTTTTCAAATTATTTTTGGCTTCTATCGGGGAATTTTCTGGATCATCTTGACACTAAGCTAAGAGACAAAATATTTCCACAAAATGTTTAGTGTGATATCCATCTTACGAGATATTGTTTTGAGTGCTTTCTGCAATAATGTCGGAGCTGGCTTAAATCAATATTTTGAACTTTGAGATTGTCATAGAATTAATTGTTATTGTGACATTTTGTACCTTAATACTACGGTAACGTGGTAATGCCGTATGATCGATAAATACCTAAGTCGCTTAATTTATCGTTTAAATTACAATACATGTTATATTATCTACATATTTCATTAAATTCACTTGAGAAATTAAAGCTCTGCTGTCAATTTTTTGTCATATTCCTACAGGCACAAGTACGCCTGTCATAGTTGGAATGTCGTTGGTCTCTTTAATTCAGTGAGATCCAGTATAGTATAAAAATTATTGACTGTCCCTCTTAGTTTAAATCCAAACTCAACTAAATTTTGATTAAATTGTTACAATTTCGAATTGGATATTGATACCTTTGATTTGTCTTACAAACAGTCAATATTCACTTTCAGTGGTGAAATTTGCCCGCTCATTCATTTAAAATATTTGTTCATCATCACTTATTTTTGTTATGTCTTTAAGCCCGGTTAGTTATCAGATGGTTTATTTGCCAATCGAAATACGACTTATACAATCTTAGTACTGTGCCAAACCAATGACCTTCGACCGGTATGAACAGCCTAGCGTCCTTATTGACCCATTGTTCGCTCAGCCCATCCAGTTGAGTCTAGAATGCTAATAATAGCCTCCGCTACATGAATCATTTATTTTAAACATACTTGGTTTATATACAAGCCAAATATACCACATCACACCATAAAATAGTAAATAACATTAATACAATATTAAGTCAAAAAGTGACTGTAAACGTTAGGGACGGTTATCAATAAACTGAGTATAATTTAATAACAGTAGATCGTATAATAATAATCTATAGGTTAAAATTAAGCTTATGATAAGAAGAATATAGATATATATAATCTAGTTACTGAATAGTTATACAATAAGAATAAATATATAATATTAGTAAATTAATAGTTCTCAGAAATTACCCGTAGTTTAATCTTCACTAGGATATAACAATTTTCATAAACGTTACACCATAAAGCTTCATTAAAACAAGACATTATTTACTACTCAGAAATTGATCTCATTAAACTAAGTAAATAATAATAATTCATAGAATTAATCAAAAGTGTTTTTTTCCTCCAGGTGAATGTCATCCGCCATTAGGAGTAACAGGCGTATGTAAGTAAGTAAGAATGTCATCCGAAATATCATATAACTATTAACTATTAAAAATATTCACCAGACAATCCAAACAACATAAATCACTTGTCTAATATGTTTATTAATATAAAACTTAACATGAATAAGTGTGAAAGTTGTTTCGTGTTTGTTTTATTTTTTTCTTTCATTTCATCATTTTCTTAATTATTTCTTATTAATTCATTTCATAAGGTTGATATTTTGCGTGACTAATTTCGATACTACTGAATACTTTCACCTGTATATTAAATATTAAGAATTTATGATTTTAATCAAAGAGATGATGGGGTTTTTTTCAAACATAAATTATCATTCGTACTGAATAATTTGATGTGATCAATTGCTAAGAATTGATGAGTACTAGTAAACTTTAACTTTGAAACTTCGTGTACATTGAGAGATTTATGTCTCACCAATGATACAAACCAAGAAACAA